CCCCCATTGACTCGTGTCTCGTACATGTTAAATGTTATGCAGTTTTTACATGATTTATAAAAAAATGTTATAATATGATTTTACGGATTTTATAAAAAATTCTCGAAGCTATAGTTATATCAACATTTTCAATAAACATCTTGATTATTTTTATCAGTTGGATACCGAAAATGGTTGAAAAATACCAAGTTCATTTTTTAATTCAAATATTTTGTAGTTTTGTACATTGCCAGTATCTACAACCACTCCAGAGAGATCTTTTTCAATCTTTTTAAGGTTGAAAAGCTATCTAAGATCAACTATGAATGAAGTAGGTACCTAATGTAATTAAGGAAATATTTGAATAAAAGTTATAACATAACTATATATTCGATTCTGAGGGATCTATTGGTTTTACAATGGTGTTTATTTATTTTTCCTGTATACAAAATTTCTTCCAGAAGGAGTGCTTCGATTTCAACATGTATAGACATATAGTAACTTATCTTTTAGAAAATTGGATCAAGATAGTACTTTAGAGAGGCCATTTTTCGATTTTCTCAATTGTTATTTAATGCCACTGTAAAAACCACCAAAAAATTACGAAAAACCGCTAAAAATGGTATTTTAATTTCTAACACTTTGTCTATCACCATAGAAAAGAATAAAAAAAAAATATTTCATTATTAATTCAACTTACAGGCTATAATAAATAATAACAATATAAAATATCCAGACTGACAAACCGTCTTCGCTCAGAATCGTTTTTCTTATACAATGATATTATGATATTATATCATTGAATTCAAGTTTAATACAATCCATTATACATTGACCCACTTGTAACCTACTGTACAGCAGCAGAGTGACATCCACTTAAACGCTTTTTTTTAAATTTGTTTTGTGCATATTATTATTTAATAATTAAAAACTCAAAAATTTCATATCGTCTTATAAATATGGTATATTTTATTTAATAAAGAGTAAATGGGTGGTGTGGGGGGCTTCGTCCCCCGTGGCTCTGTGTTCTGAAAATTATCTGGACCATCCCCATGACAAATTCCTAAATACGCCACTGTTAGAGCGGGCACGCACCGTTCTGCCGTGACCATTCTTCGGCGGAAAGTGTGCTGCTTTCGTTCCTCCGCCGCTGTTTCTCACTCGACGACGAGCGTACCTACCGATCGTCATTGCCGGCACCGCGCTCGGGTTTACCGCCTTAACAAGACACGTCCATATTTCATTGCGCCCCCCCCCCCCCATTACCGTGTCACGGGTATAAATATAATAAAATAATAATACTCGTGCAACGCGCGCACACACACTACGACTTTACCTATACTATATATACATCACAATATTATGTGGTATTCGTTCACGTAATAATATATCGTGTTGATTATTTTCAATTAAATACCTATGTGTACATATATACGTGAACAGGTGGACAGACCAGATTGAACAGTTAAGAATTTGTTTGCCATCAAAATGTGTTTATAAATTGGTTTTCAGTATCATATTTACACGTTTTAGATTTGAAAATTGGTACAACAGTTTATTTTTAAACTAACATAAAGAAAAACATAAAATCAAATTACTAATAAACATATAATAGTTAGGTATCTAATTTTAAAAAAAAAGTGAAATCCTAATGATTGAAGACAGCATTATAGTTATTTGACACTTTAAAACCAGTGCCCAGTACCTACCATATGAACACCTAAAAGTATTTGTTAAGACAATTTCTATATTTAATAAAATTCGTGAATAATCTAGGAAAGTGTGAAAATATTGTTGCGTTATTTAAAATCAAGATTAAGTTAAAAAAGTGAAAATTTTAACAAAATGTATTAAATTAAAACTAAATTATTTTGTACCTAGTTAGTACAATGGTGTAGTACTCTAGACTGACATTATTATATAGTATATATCATTGAATTCAAATTGAATTCCGTCCATTACGGTTACATACTTACAGGGATGGAAAATGTTTTTATTTTTTTTTTACTTGCTATTTCATTCCAAGAGTCATTTTTTAAAATCTTATTATAATGATTTTTTGTTTGTAGGGTCCCATATAATTTCCTTACTAGGATATATTTCATTAAGTTTTAATAGATTTTCATTTGTCCAGTAGGCCATCTTCACAAAATGTACGAGTGAACGAAAATAAACGACTAAATAGTGTATTCTCGGAGGTTAATCGGCAACTAAATGTATCAATTGGTTTGTCCTATGATGTCTGTTGGCGAGGTTTTTCGACAAAACTCATCATACCCAATTTCTCCTACTTACCTACCTATATCCGACCGAATCGCATGTGAAAATTCAATGACGAAAATACAAAAAAACCGACCCGTATAAAAATAAGTAGTACGTCATTTTTTTTTTCAACGTTAACGACCCGTCAACCGTCGTGTGAACCGCTCCGAGGCGCGAGCGCTCGCGGAATATCGAATTCGGTCGCGTGGAGGGGACGAGCGAAGAACAACCGGCACCCCGTGCCCGGGCAATCAATCAAAACGGGTAGAGGGAAAAAAAATATATCCGAAATAATGCCCGTTTTGTTGTTGTCCGACGACGACGCCGCCGCAGCATTTTTTCGTCCCAGCTCCGTCCATCCATCATCGTATAGTTTATGTGGTGCGTAGTGATAATGCGTATCATTACATATCGTATTATACGACGCGCACGCATACCAGACCGGTGGCCGCCGATTCGTACTCGGCCGACCGTTGTCACCGGACGCGTCCGCCGAGAAAAACTTCTTCGCGTCCCGTCGCTTATTTATACATTCCTCCGCCTCACCTTATTATATTATTATTATTATTATTATTATTATTATTATTATTATTATTATTATTATTATTATTATTATTATTATTATTATTATTATTATTATTATTGTGTACAGTTTGGACGTTTTTATATCGTCAACCGCCGCCCCGCGGGTAGTCGCACTCCGCAGCGGTGACACCCGTCAGTCCCCTCTTGTCCCATTTGTATATATAGGTATTGTATAAAATTATGCCGGTGTCGAGGGGGGTTAAAACCCTTTTGTCCGAAAGACTAGTTCGACGGGGTGGGTTTTTTTTCTCGGTTTTATCGCCGGTCCGCAGCTTGCATATTATATATAGCCGTCTCTCGTCCTCTCTCTCTTCCGTCTCGTGTGCTCGCAGCTACGTATGTTATATTATATATCCGTGTATACATAACACCTATACCTTATTATGTACTTAGGCTTGAAAACCGCAACCCTTGCGTTGATAACACTATACGGACTGGACACTTACTAGTTGCGGACGAATTATTCAGGTTAGGAATTATAATATAACAATTGCGGACACGAGCTTCGTTGTCATAATACTAATTGCGTACAGAGCTTTTTTTAATAAAAACTACGTTAGTTGTGGACACAAATATTTCCCTTCACCACTTTTTTAGAACTTATGACAATAGCTAAAAAAAAATTGGCAGGTGGGGTTAAAAATATTTGTGTCTTGCAAAAGAGCAATCGTTATTTTTAAAATGTTGTTGAATTATAGATTGTTTTAATTTTGTGGAAAAAATTGTTTATAAAATATTTATAGATTATCGTCATTATTAATTATCTTCATAGTTTTTAAAACAGCCTGTATATATAATATTCTACTGGTTTCACCACGTGAATATTGTAACATTATCCGCAATTAGTATCTTATATTTGTGTCAGCAATTCGTATGTTACCTTTTTAGATTTCGTCCGCAACTCACATGGTTTTTGTCACTTTGTCCGCAATTCGGAAACACCGTACGGACTACGGAGACATGGTCTTGCAGCAGTTACTAGATAGTTACCTTTATACGGCTATACCTATATCGAGTAGTAGTTTGCGTAATTTAGAGATTTGAATTATATTCCGTTTCGATTCCGGTTGCTTACGAAATGCCAAATAATTTAACAAAAACTCATCACATGAACAGTTCAATTCGCCGCCGGTGAAAAAATTCTCGAGTTTCAACTTTCAAGACTGTTATCGTTATACAATTGTATATTGCCTTATTATGTTTTTTACTTTTTATCTTATTCGTTTATATTTTGTTATTTGTTTATTTCGGTTAATTTTTTACACGTATGATCACAATTACCTACCATTTAAAATTATTAACCTTCGCCTGTATAATTTAGGCCACGTAACACCAATTCATATTTTTGAGGGCTACATTGGGAATTTGACGACTTTTGGGAGCCATCAAAATATTCAAAGCAAATATTTTAAACATTGGTATTATATTATAATGGAAAAGTAACATACTACATAGTGGCCTAGTGGCGTTAATATAATAATAAATAAAATAATAATTAATTAAAATAAAATAGAAATGTTAAAATAATTATGATATAAATAGAAAATTGGGTTAAAATTATTGGGAAAAATGGCAATTCTTGCTCTCAACTAACTGCTTGAAATTGTTCATAATAATATGATTCGTGTACCTACTTAATATTTTATAATATGTATGTTCTCAATATTTGATTTACGAAGTTCCCTACTTTTGGAAATTGTTCGGCAAATTATCAGATTTTTGTGAAGTCTCTATCATATCTAATGACGAAAACTTTAAAAACAGCTATTGTCCGGCGGGTGGTGGCAAACAAATTGGCAAGGCCACTAAACCTACCTATGTACTTTATTATGGGTTTTTACTTTTTTTTCATTGTCTGCTGGCCGGATAAAATTTGTCCGCGGGCCGCCATTTTGTGACCGCTGGTTCAGGCATAGGACTTACGGACGAATGACTAATAAACTGTAATATATTACCGGTATAACACTTACCAGATACCTAGGTATATTATAAAATAAGAATACCAACTCTCAACAGTCCACAGAGTTAAATACATTTTAACTGCACAAAACGAAAGAGGTAGGTATATAGAAAGTGGCCGTGGGTAGTTTATACAAACTTACCGAAGTACAGTTACTTGTATTTATAATATATAATATAATAATAATACAAAACGAATCGTGGACGGACTGTGACTAAGAATTATACATTGCTGCGTCAAGCGGGGCCGGCCGGACCATGGTGTCCATGAACTGGTCGTAGTCGACCAGTCCCGAGCCGGCAGGGTCCATCTCCGCCACCATCTCGTTCGCGTCCACGTCTGTCAACAAGTTTGGGTGGAACTCTTTGAGCACGGTGAGCACGTGGTCGACCGTCACCTGTCCGGTGGACTTCGGGTCGCCGGCCGCAAGCATGGCGCGGAACCGCCGACGCCGGGCCCCGTCTTCGGCCCATCGGCGCGCCACGGACGCCGCCCACTGATTTCCGGTGATGTACCCGCGGCCGGTCGGGTCGTATTCGTCGACCACGGTGATGACGTCTTCGTCGGTCGCGTCCACGCCGACCGCTCGCAGCGCCATGTACAGGTTCCTGACGTTCATCCGGCCGCTGCCGTCGCTGAACATGGCGAATGCGGCCTGCACCTCGGCTAACAGTTCTGCAGGTAGCGCGGGCCAGTGGGCGGCGGCGTCACCGTCCTCGCCGTCCTTCGACGGTTCCGCCTCGGGCCGTTGAGAGTTGTCATCGTCGTCGTCGTCGTCGTCATCGTCGAAGAACGGTTCCGACGCAGATGGCTGCCGTTCGGGTTCAGACATATCGAACGATGGAATGGTTTTCGTACAATTTTTTTCTTCTCAGCGTTCGTTTTCAGTTTGCTTGTAAAAATATATTTTGATATTATTTACCTATGTAGGCGCGTTTATGAAATACCTAGGTAAGGCCCGTTTCACATGGACGCGTATCATACGCGACGTATCGTACGCGCGCGTTTTAATTTACATTGGTCAAATTCATACGCGCCACTCCGACGATGGCGCGTTTCCCTCGCCGGTTTGGCGCGTATGAACTTAATCAATGTAAAATGGAAAACGCGCGCGTACGATACGTCGCGTATGATACGCGTTCATGTGAAACGGGCCAATTAAACGAAACAATTAATAATATAACAGTTAAACGTTTTGCTCCGGCTTGTGGTTGTAGGAAGTGTTCAAAAAATATTAACTAAATAATTGTTACCTAGTAATCATCTAATTTGTTGATGAACATTTAGCCAATAGGACGTGGCCTCGTGATAGTATACCTCCGCGTAAGTATACAATAAGAGTTGGTACCTATACCAATAATAGTCGTAATAACGGCATTTGGAAAAATTAACGGGCCCGAAATCCAGCTGATGCCGGTCGATTAATTAATAATGTGCTGGATACTAATAAACGATGTTTGTTTTAAATCATCGTCGACGGCCCAGGAAGAAATACGGAAATCGGCACATTTGCAACTCATCTGAGTATCTGACACCTTACGCGGACAAAAAAAAAACCTGAACAAAAAAATGGCTGCATCACATAACGAAGAAAAGGCAATGGAAACAACCATAAAGCAAATCCTGGGAAAGATAATTAGCAACGTCGAGTACGAGATTATGGAGGAAGAACTTGGCCGAATAGACGACATCGACGAGGAACCTACCATCGGTGACCTGGAAGGACTTTTGTCGTATGCGACGCGCTTCGCGGGGGACGACTACGTCCCGTTCAACGTCTTTCAACCGGTCGACAAATCTGGCAAAACGGCAGAACCGGTTGAACCGATCGTAGACGACGTCGTAGTGGTCACGCCTCCGGTGCAGGAAGCCGAGGAAAAGGAGCTGGGTGGTGAGGCGGTGGGCGCCACACTGGCCAGAGGACTTGAAGTCAGAAACAGTATTGGGATCTTGATTGGTTGGCTGGACCCGGGGGTCAAGATAGAAACACGCAGCTCCACGCAGTGGAACGGCGAGAGTGGTGTCCTCTGCGTGGAGAGGCATAACGAGAGCCGTACGCGTGTTGCGCTGTTGTTGTCCCCCGAAGTGAAACCGTCCAAAAATTTGCCCCCTGGCTGAGGGCAGCGGACAAGGCGAGGCGACGTGTGGGGTTTCAAGGTAATAGATACGCGGCAGTGCACATTCAGGTGGTTATCGGCGGTAAGTCGCCGATACGCGTTCTACGGCCATCCTGCGGTAGCGCGACGGGATCGCGGACGTTGCGCGCTCGAGGTCGCCGAGACACGCGAAACCCTCTGGCGGCGCGGCGGGCGCCAGGCTGCTTCGGTCCAGGAGCGACGACGACTGTGGTTAGCGGTACCCGCGCGGACAACGACGCCGTCCCCGACGGTACCTGCTCAGTGACGAACGCAATGCTGCACGACTCGCGTGACGGCGGCGACGGTGGGTGAGTGACGAATGACTATGATTACATGGTAGCTAGGAACGCCACGGACGTCAGCAGCGCCGGGCTCGAGGAAACGAAACGTTTCGTCGGGTTCGGCGGTGCGTGGCTTCGTGCCATCGGCTGCGGCAGACGGCGACGGAGACGCCAGGGCGAAAATCACGGAGACTATCAGGACAGCGGCGCGTCGTGACGCTGTCCGCAGATTCTCTCCCGTTTTCGCCCAGTGGTCCGATAACGAGTCGCAACGCCGCCGATTCCGCAGCTGCACCGAGATTATAGTCGACAGCTCGCTCCGAGCTTTGCAGGTCACCGTCGTTGCCGGCACAAGCAGTCGTCTTCAGCACCCGCAGTACCGTCAAGCAGCGCACGACATCAAGCACTAGCCTCTCGTCGCCAACCGTCGTCGCTCTCGATGCCGTCGTGGCCGGGCTTCGTCCTGCCATGGTCGTCTTAGCGGTCTCGAGTAAACTCGCCCGCGACTCTCGTCCGCCCCGCAGGACAGCCCGTGAGAACGTTGTAGAGGTGACCAGTGGCCATATACCAGTTACCAACATCATCAGCGCCACCAACTCGCCATCACGTACCCCTAAACATCGCCTCTTCTTGTCCGATGACTTTTTTTTTTTGTATTTAAATTATTATTTCTTATTTTTTGCTACTTTTATGTAACACATAATATTCTCATTTTTCGGCATTCAAAATTGTAAAGCACTATATGCATTCGTTTTCATGAGATTATATAATAAAATTATTTCTTCGTTACACGGTAAAATGTTGTTCCTTATTTTTTGTATTAAAGAGTACGATTTTATTTATTTCAACAGAATAATGGGGGCATTGAACATGATCGTGTTCACGTGGAACTCACACAGAATATTAAACAAGAATTTTTTTGTTACGTACCAAATATCAATGAAGTACATTGAAGGTATTGGCCACGTGAGAGTATAAGTTTACTGTGTGTGGTGACATTTTTTCTGCCCCAAAATGTGATAAAAGAAGAAAAATGAATTTAAGAAAACACGCACACATTATTATAAAATCAATCCATTCATCGCTCGGCTCAGAATTAAAAATAATAATAATAATAACTATAGTTTTTGTTATTGTTGTTGTATGAACACCACATTGTTTTTTCGTAATACTAGGTAGGTATTTCGACGACCCATCGAAATGGTTTTCGAATGATATATACCTAAGTGACGTTTTAAGAGCTTGCATTATTTTTCTTATATAAATTATAATGACAGCAATCACTGGAGCAGAAAAATCATTTTCCTAACTAAAACTAATAAAAAATTACTTAAGAAACGCATGTGGACGAGTGCGTTCATCTAGTATAGCAATTTCAAATATAAAGAAAGAACGAACTAAAAATCTAAATATTGAGAAAATTATTGACAATTTTGCTTTATAAATTATATTTTTTATAATAGAATATCTTATTATATTATATCTTATATGAATCATTAATAGTTAGGTATATATGGGTATTAATAATTTTTCAGTTTTTTCTCATTTGAAACTGTTGCACACGCGCAGTATCACAACAATTTATAACATTATTATATATTTATATAGCATGCCGTTACAATAGTATGACCAGTCAGTGACCACACGACATCACAACAAAATATAATAAAAGGCGCCCACGCGGACATGGGTAACTGAGATTTCGTAGTTATAATATTATACAATACACATAATGTGATTTACTAATGATTAAGACTTGTATTGTGCTCAAGCTGCAACACATAATATTATAAAACGACATCGCATTAGGCAGGTACATCATCATAATATATTATTATTATTATTATTATTATTATATTGTTTCAGCAGTTCTGCAAACAAGTCCCCAGACTTTTTTTATCACGTTTTCTTTTCGAAAAAGCAACGGGGTTTGCATTTCGTAGTCTGTAGGTGTATAATAATATCTAAACACAATTAGTTAGGTGTACCATTAAAATATTATATATATACATACATAGTAGTCAGAGATGTAGCTAGGTCTTGCCGAGACTGGCCCATTATATAACCATATAATAGGTATATTTATATATATATAGAGCTGTAGCAATGTACATTAGCTCTCCTGACCATTTATCATATTTCCGCCCTTCTAAAATTTTGTAACCCCCCCCCCCTTCCTCAAACATACAAACATACACACACACACACATATAAAAGACTAATACATTCTTTATTTTATAAAATCTTATAAAAATCTTATAAAATTATTTAAAAAAATTATTTTTTACATTTCAAAATTTCACTTTTCGTGCTTTTTTGGTAGTAATTATAAATTATACATTTATACTGATATGTCGTTTATATGTTATACCATTTTCAACAAAAAATCACATTTCTAAATACAACCATATTTAATTAAATTTTTAAGTTCTGTTGTTATAATTGTAAATTGTAAAGAAAACTGTACTACAAGCCGAAATGGAAATGGTACATTTTGGCCAAAAAGGAGGCCACCCATCTAGGATTATACTACGTAATATGTATGGATAGGTATTTAATATTTAGTATTTTCTAATAGTAGCCAGTGTAACGACAAGTTAGGTACCAAGTTTACAGTATAGTATTATACGAGTATTGTCTTTGTAGACGCTCCGAAAATTGAAACCAAGATAGGTCAATATGTACGTCTATCAGTGAAAAATTCAAGACTAATCCCTACTCCTATGAACTATACTAGCGATTATTGAGGTACACGTCATAACCAAATATCGAGCGGAGCGCCCCGTAGCGTTACTCGTCATTCAGCGAGCAGCGTGTATTGTACTGCAGTGGGCTATCTAGAGTATTTATAATCAATGATATTATACCTACAGAGTTAAGCTACAGCAGGAAAGGAGCCTGCTTTTTTTCGTGAATTGTTCGTATGTTGGTCAAAAATCGGAAAACAAATCTATTTCGATATTCTACAGCACTGCAACAGCATATTATTATTTACTAGTTGTGAAGTGAATCTAAGTAATGCCTAGTTGTTTTCAAAAGTATCGGGAAAACCCAAAAATAAATTAATAAGAACACAGATTTGTACCTAAAACTAGTTCTTGACAAAATCGATTTAGTTTTCTTGGTTGAACTAAAAAACTAATAACCGGTAGATACTTTAACTTTTTACCAAATGTTTATTCTGAACATTTTCCATACACAGGTAATCATTATAAAAATATTTTGATTCTTTTTGAACTATATTATCTATAAATTCACGCCGAAGTGCCCTCACTGGTTTTCGGTTGGTGCTTCCCTCAATCCACTCATGCCACCACATAAAATGAACATCACTCATACATATCATGTTATTTTAATATTGTATAGATTGTATAATTTCTTAACTAAAAATATATTACCTATACCTTTACCAC